CCCCTCGCGTCGATGACCCTCGTAAGCCCGTGTGTTTGTCTGTTTCTATGCTTATCTTCTTTTATTCATAAGCTACTCGCGTTTATAATCATCGGTGGTGTTTCTTACTTACTAGTTCCCTTGTTGTTCAGTTAAAGCTTTTCAATGCTTCGAGACCAAGAAGACGAAAGGCAGTGAAAAGTCCGCCAAGCCAGTCGCTCCCTCAGCGAGACCCGACGATGGATCTGGCTGGAGTGAAGAAGGCGGCGGCCGAGACGACCATCGCTAGGAAATCGAAGATGGTCATCCCTTCCTCACTGCCGCAGAAGAACCCAGGTCCTGGGGCCAAGAAAAGGGGTCCGGACGAAGTCGACCCTAAGCAGAGGGCCGACTCGTCCAAGCGCCTCAAGAGTAAGGACAAGGGAAAAGCAGTCGAAGCTCCCCGTTCTCCTGGCGCCCTCGAGACGGTCACACTCGAGAGGCCCTGCCAACTCCGGAACCATCCCCATCAGCATGAGATTGCCAAATACTTTGACTCGGTTATCCCTACGACTGACAAGGCTCGTGCTGACCGCGACCCTTACGATCGTGCCGGTCGTGCACTCCTATGCTTCTCTCGAGTGAGTGTTCTTCGACTTTTATCCCTTGGTGTATTTTCCTTATCCTCGTTTTTATCTTACTGACTTTTCTGCACTTTTCTTTCAGTTCATGGCATATATAATGCCCACTCTTCTCGAGGAGTCTAGCTCGCCTAACTCCAATGTTCATGCTTATAAGAAGAAGTGCGCGGAGCAGCTCCATGAACTCGAGGAGAAGAATGACGACCTCGCGGCGGCCCATGCCCTCATTGCGAAGCTCAAATCTGAGAAGGCCGCCGCCCTTTCCAAGGTCGATCAGCTGCGAGCCGACCTTGCTAAGGCCACCGAGGACAACGTGGCCGAGAGGGAGATCGGGAAGGAGGAAGGACGCAAATCTTTCCTCAAGTCACCGATGGGCTCCATCTTCCTCGAAGCTTATCGTAAGGAGGTCGTCAGGGCGTTCTGCAACTCTCCTGCTTTCCTCGAGAAGCTGTGCCCGTCCACCCTTCAATACTTTAACTTTACATTTGATGCGTGGGAGTCGGCTGTTAAAGGCACCGCCCTCGAGGGAAAAGTCAACCGTCAAGCGCTCAAGGAGTCGCTCCCTCTCCCGCTTGGCTATCGCGGCGATGCATCACTTCCCGACGACTATCCCTTGTGGTTGGGTCTTGAGGCTCGGGTGATTCGAAAGGCTAGCCTTGGTGCTCAGCTTGAGGTTCCTCCTACCCCCCCTGGTCGGGCCAGTTAATTTAATCGAGCCGAGCGGAGCAGATGATGAAGAAGAAGAAGAGTTGGACGAGAAAATGGTAGTCGAGGGGCCAGAAGTCGAGCCGGCGATTGAGGGGGCGGGCGAGTGGACTGAGCCGTTGGGTGATGAAGAGGGCGTAGGGACCAAGCCTGTGGTCGACGGAGGCGAGAATGCCGATTTGGCTGAAAAATCAACTGTAGATTCCCAAAAGAACTAGATATCTTATTTGATAGCTTTACTTGTCCCTTTTTTTTTGTCGTTCCTAACCCATTTTCAGGGTTGTAAGGGTTAAGATGACTGCGGATGTAATTTAGTTGCTTATCTAATATAATATTTTGTTGGCTTGCCGTCTCTGTTTGTTGTCGATTCTCGTTGTTGATTGTGCCTGAATGATTTCTTTTTAAAGTTTCTTAATTTACCTTGTGTCTTCCCCCAACCTGGCTTGCGAGCTGGT